ATTAAAGAGATACTTCTCTGGAATGGTCAGTTTGGGCCCTTCAGCAAGAATGTGCTTGTAGAGGGAATAAAAATGCAATGATAACGTCAACCAAGAGTTATGGCAATGATTCAGTAATGTATACTGAGAAAGCTGGTTTTATTTTCTTAGTGTCCTGTTTTTCTATATTGCTCTGAGTCAAATAAAATAAACAGTAGCATTCAAACAACCAGTGACTGTACTGTAGACATTTTGCTCCCTCTCACTCAGTGGTAAGACCAGCCGGGCAAAAGAGGTGGTGGTCCTGCTGTATTCAGCACTGGTGTGGCCTCACCTCAAGTACTGCGTGCAGTTCTGGGCCCCACCATTTAAGAATGTCCTCCAGAGGAGGACAACAGCGCTGGTGACAAGGCTGGCAAGCATGTCCTGTGAGGAGCAGCTGAGGACTTTGGGCTTGTTTAGTTTGGAGAAAAAGAGGCCGAGGGGCAGCCTCATGGCTCTCTACAGCTTCCTGAGGAGGGAAGGTAGAGAGGGAGGTGCTGATGTCTTCTTCCTGGGATCCAGTGACAGGACGTGTGGGTATGGTTCAAAGCTGTGCCAGCGGAGGTTTAGACTGGACATTAGGAAGCATTTCTTTAGTGGGAGGGTGGTCAAACACTGGAACAGGCTTCCTACAGAGTTGGTCAATGTCATAAGCTTGTCAGTGTTTGAGACATTTGGACAATACCCTTAGTAACATGCTTTAACTTTTGGTCAGCCTTGAATTGGTCAGGCAGTTGGACTAGATGATCATTGTAGGACCCGTCCAACTGAAATATTCTATTCTATATTGTTAGCATTTAAAAATAACAGTTGCTGTGTTGAACATTATTTTTGCAAAGTTAAATCCTCTTTCTTGTCCTTCTTTTTCTATTTAATCCCACCATCTTCCATATATCACTTGTGAAGTTTGTCATGTGTAATATCTCAGGCAGTAGTTTACAATGTTATGTATTTTAAGGCAAAACCCCTTAGTCTTGAATACTTTTCAATTTTACTGCTTCCATCAGTATAGGTCATTGTTTGTCAGGCAAAGCAGTCTTTGCAAAACAGAAGGAGTACTTTGTCTCTGAGTTGGAGTACCTGTGTTTCAGGGACTCTATAAACAGTATGCAGCCACCACCTTGTCATCTTATTCAAGCAACGGTAAAAGGATTTGTAGCCAGAAGAAACTGAGAGTTCCAAAGATTACTCTAAACTTTATTCATAAAACAATTATATCAGTTGTAGATTACAGTATCTCTTGTGCAATGTGTTACTGGGGAGACTTTGCACGGGAGGAAGATAAGCAAGGAGGCTCAAAGGTTTCCTTAGTTTCCCTTTACACTCCTAATTTTGCTGCTTTATGCAACTATGCAACAGCACAGATTGCAACGCAGTTGGGCTGTGTGAAGACCCATTGATATTTCTTTTGTATTTTTTGAAGGTCGATAGTATTCCTCATCCTCTAGGATGTCTTTCCTAGTCATTTGCTACATCTAGTAAGTTTTTTAAAAGCTACTATTCTTAATTAGGGGAAGTATATTAAAAATGGAAGCATTTCTAACTTTAATATAGTTACCTAAGTTTCCAGTATGAGTGTGATTATGTTCAGTTGTGGGGTACTGCAACTTCTAGAAATACAGACTATTAAATATATTGCTAAAAAGCTTGAAGGAGGTTGTTGGTCATTTCCTATGCACTTTAATGTCTCATAGGAAGGAACTTTTGAAGCCATAATTCTGTTCATGTTCATATATGAACTTTAAAGCATGCCAGGCCATTTTTTTCCAAAAGTTTATCCATCAAAAGAATTTTTTAAAACCCCCAAAACTATAGTAATAGTATTAGAAAAAAATCTGCTGCATTTTTTCCTGTAAAGCATGTGGCAAAAGTAGTCTACAGCACTTGTTGGACGTTATCAAAATGTGCTTTTTCAGATTGCATTTAACTTGCCCATGGGAATGGTAACATAAAAACATCAGACATGAGCAAGAATTTGATGAGAAGAAGGACAAGCCCACTTCAGTTCCAATGTCTTTTCTCAGGTGACTCAGTCCTGGTCACCTTGATCCCTGTGGCTAAGAGCCATCAAGGACCATATCCATCAGTGCTAACCATACAGTATCAGCTCTATATTGTGTGTACTTACAGCTAATTTAGCATACAAGTGTTAAAAACTAACACTCTTGTGTATATAAGGAGAATGTTTAATAGTGTGTAAGAATTGACCATTAGAGTGTTTTTAATGAATTAACTTGTTTTTAAAGTTCAAAACAGGCCTGATCTGTCAGTCTTGTAAACATTCCCATCACAGCAATTCTGATTCCCTGATACGTGTGTGCACTCAGATATGCACACTAGCATACATTCAATTAAAAAAAAAAAATTAGTTGTGCAAACCTTCAGTGCTGTTTGTTCTTAGTTACCCAATGGAAAGCTAGTACTTACTTTACCCCCCGATTTCTTCTTGTGCACTGGGATTTCATCACCTAAAACAATTCTAGGTAACTATCCATTTTTTGCATTAATAAAGAACCTGCACAGTGGAGAGAGTGTGTGTTTTGATTTTAGTGTCCTGAGATCTGCTGCTTTCTGGAGCAATTGGTTCTCTCTTCTGTGGAGATTCAGCATATCTTTGGAGTATTTTTCTAATAGTGAGTTAACAGGTAAAGATGGGCAATAGGTCTTGTTTTGGCTTTTTACACCCTAGATAAGTTTTGCAAATTGGAATTAATTTGTATTAACATATTGTGAATCTTACTATAATCATCATTCAGTTTTATGCAGAGTTCTGTATGTATGCATTATGAGTTTAGTTTTATAAATATTCTGTGGCTGCTTGGTAAATGAAGCTATCTGGGTGTGCAAGAGAAACCTGAGCACAGTGTACTTTTTGATCAATTGTAACTGTATTCCCAGCAAGTCCATAGAATCATATAAATTAGTGGAAAAACATACTTCTGTGGTTTATATATTATTTTAAAACTGGCAATTTATCAAGAGATTTTTCTTGAAATTTCCATGCTTATTAAATTTCAGATTATGTATTTTGAGTAAGCTGGAAACTTTTTTCCATAAGTATGGCTGCAGGTAAACAACCAATTTTAGTCCAGAAAATAGCTTTTGCTTCTGTCAACATGTTGTTTATTTTCTCCCTGAGATAAAAAGTTCAGTTTTCTGATATTTGTACCAAGATAAAGTCTGTAAACAAGATTAATATAGTGTGGAAAAGGTTGTCAGCAGCCCTGGCAAAGGAAATAAGTTGCCTGTACACAGAACATACTGTAAACTGAATAAAAGTGTCAGGTCCACCATGAGATAATATGATCATGAACCTCTAACAAAGCATGACATAGGCACAGTCGGCTTTTCTTATAGCCACAGTGTAGAAAATGGATTACTGTATTCCAGGGATACCCACTGGAATAGCATGAAAACCTCATTTTGAGATTAATGCAGGATGTAACTCTCAAGAGCTGAGCTACATGTTTACTTATAGCGTTAAAGTAACAGTTTAGTTATTAATCCTAAAATTTTGAAATTACATATTAAAATACTTGTTTATATTTCTAGGTCTGTCTTTGTGAATTGACGTTTCTTGCTTTTATTATTAGGTGAACTATGACATTACAAAAGCAACATTTGGTCACTGTTTTACTTTTATCATGTGGCTATGTAAGTCCTTACTAAGTCTAGTAAAACAGTTAGTTTCAAATGCCTGTAAAGCAGTAGGTGCTGTTCTCCCATGTAGCCACCATGATTTCCTCTACTAAGGATTTGTATGTTTGCATAAATTTTTCTGTGGTATGGTATTACCAACTCTTTTCAATCATCATCAGCCAGAAAAGTGACAACACTTTAGGGTTTCTTAATCTGGCCCCAACTGACATGGTTTTTCAAGTCAAAGAAACAGATTTTGGTCAAATACTTTAACTACACGAAGCTTTCAAATTATTCAGTGAGTGTTCTTTGAAAGTTTTCCAAACTTGGAGCTCCAACTGTCCTGGCTTTTCTCCATCATGACACCAGATGAATAGGGATATTTTTCTTTTAAAGTTGAGCTCATTGTTCTTTTAATAAAGAGTAGGCTGCTTTTATCTGCTTATGTAATTTCGGCAAGCCTGAGACGTATAAATGTATTATCATTGAGTTTTTGTGGTCTCCTTTCAAAACTGGCAGAACATCTGACTTCATTCCCACCTCTGGTCATCTACTGACTATAAAACTATCTCCAAGGAACCAAAATTTGTTACTGCATTCTTTCCACAGGAATAGTTTGCCTTGTGCTCTGGTTCTTCAAGCATGAATTTCATTAAGTGGTCTCTTATTCTTCTGCTCTTACCTTCTACATGTCCAGACAAAATAAGCAGAAAATAAAAATAAAGCTGTTTGAATGCATTCTTGAACAATACCAGAATATCATCATCTGCAAAAGTCTGCATATGCAATAATGCATTCTTATGATCATTCTTAAATTGAGCATGTAACTTATTTTTTGTTTCAGTATATAAAGCAGCAGACAAGGAGTACAATACAATGTGGTAAAAATTATTTCTTTGCTTTCTGTCCGACATGAACTTGAATTTCAGAAGTTTTGTGTTGGGACTCAAAGGTTGGGAGAATTTTTTAATAAATTTATTGCTGTATTGTTCATAAGGATAGTATGTTGACTATGATTTTTAAAACATCTAACTTTCATTTTTTTGGAGATAAAGTGTTTCATGGACTTTTCAAAAGTAACTTAGTCCCCTAACATATGTAAATGTCTAACATCCAATCAGATTTACACATAAAGGATTTTGGTAAGTCTTGTATAGCATTTTCTGCACTCAGGCTTTAATTAAAAATTGCAGATAATGCTAATTGCATTTACTGTGTCTAGTGTACTGTCTCTATTTTGTATTTAGTATTTGTGATATGTTTTGTTAATAAACAATTACTGTGTGCATATGCTACCCCATTATTCAAAAGCTTTTTTTCCCCTGCTTTTTTTCCATTAGATTACTCCAGGACCAGGTAGTAGCAGGAAAACGGTTCACTTGTCCCAGGATTCTCTTCACCATGAGTGAGTATCAGTGATGGGAGTTATAACTTTTTATTATTGTTTGCTTTACAGTAGTATTTCTGTCCCAAAGCTGTATTTTACAACTGTACAAACGTGGTAAGAGAGCCTCAGCTCAGTTACATAATGATCTCTATTAAACAGTAATATTTGTAATCCTTTGTAATTCATTTTATGTTTCTTAATGAAACGTGAAGTTCAGTGCTTTGTAAGTGTGCTTTTATGAACTTGCTAAGTATATACGTTCCTAAAACTCAATGCTTTTTAAGGCTAGATATCAAGTATGGGTTGTTTAAAAAGACCTGCTTTATTTTTCTCCAAAGGGAAATTCAGAAATGCCAGGCTTGAATAGATGAAAATGAACATGCATCACATCTTTGAGTCTTTAACATATCATGTGAGGATGAACATTATCATAACTTCTACAAAAAGACATTGAATTAATTTCTTAGACACATGTAAATAGGGAACGTCATTCAGTTTGTTTAGTTACTCCAGAGTGCCATTACTGTAAACTCTTTTTCTGTTCAGTTGACAGTGTTTAGCAGCACTATTTCTTGGTTATCTCTTTTGAATAGTTACAATAAGAAGGTTTTCCTATATTTTCCAAATCAGAAGTTTAAAACATAGACACACATGATTAGGAAATAATGTATTTGGGGATACAATTATGTGTTCTAACTGCTACTAGAGATAGCAGCTGCAGTTTAAAACAAAATTTACCAATGTGCATGTACTACAAACATCAGATCCTCAGTACCAACTGTTTTATGCTACTAATCCACTTCTGTTGCACCCCATAGCTTGCTAGTGTGTGTGTTAAAAAAAGAGGTTGTGATTTCATAAGTTATCTATACTCTAAATTAATTCAACTAGTATTTTAAGGATTTTACTTTTGTTTATTTTATTAACATGAGCAAATAATACTGTAATTAAATGAATGGACAAAATCATAAAAATCAGTATGACGTAACTATCACTTTCTCATTACAAGTGGCATTGTTCTTTATGCAGGATTTTTAATGTCTAAGTACGAGACACATTCAAAGTACTTTGCTATATATTTATTTAAATAGAAATCCATTTTACTAATAATTTAGTCTGTAATCCGTAATCCACTGATCTGTTTTGCCACAAACCAGCAGAGTTTATGTGGAGGATGGTACCCCAGTTTGCCACTCCTTCCTGAGCATTTGCTGTTGACACTGGTCAGAGAGAAAACACTCATCTATGTGGAATTTAGGTCTAACTTGTTATATTTCTTACCTCCATCAGCTTCTGGATGTTTGTGACCTTATTTTTTGGGCCACTCACAAATCTGATGTTTTATTTTTTCATCCACTGCCAACTATGTGTGCACAAAATATCCCCGTTTTCCTCAGTTTTTGAACTATTCAATGCAATTGATGAAAGTTTAATGTCCAAAATATATAGAAGTCTACTAATTTTTATTTCAAGGTATACTTTTGATGTTACTGCTGATATTCTTTTTTTCACTACCAACTTCTTTTCATTAATCACTTTAAAAGTAGAAAAAGAAGTTAGCAGTATGCAGGTTTTGGTGACAGCTAGTCTTGTGTACAAGTACGAGAGTTGTCTGCTCATCAGCAAACTCACAAAAAGTGAGTGACAAGAAGCTACAAAACTTTAAGATTTGTGACTTTAAAAAAACAAAAAAAAGAGTAATTTCGACCATGCAATTCCATGGAATTTGATTCTCCTCAGTATATTAATTGAAGTAAAAATTTTACTGTCATTATGTGGCTGTTTTAAGGAAAAAATGAGAGTAAACTGTATTGAATTTAACTACCTCTGAAAAAGCATAACTAGGTTAAGCTTATAATCTTTGATTACACTTTTAGAGGAATTTACAAGCATAATAGCAGATAATATGATTGCCTTTTTGTGCAATGTTATAACTGATGGAAATACTTTATCCTTTGCCTAAAACCTATTGCTTGCTTACGTGAGTAATATGTAGGTACTATATGTAATTTCGGATCTCCTTGTTTTAATTGTTTTTACCTTCTCCTTTTCATTTTGCAAGTGTCAAGATTTGCCCCAGGTTTGTGTAATGCTTACTACAGCTACATTCAGATGTTAATTCAGTTCTATGTCAATCAGTATTAATATACTTTTGCTGCAGTTGAGGGAAAAGTCACATTGTGAGTTCTTGTCCCCGCATGTCAATGTCTTAGAGCAAATTTTTGTCTCTGTGAAAAAGGGCTGACAATAGTCAAAACTGTGCAGTTGTATGGAGATAGGAAGCCACTGAATTTACAGACCTTGTATTTCACTTTAGATTCAAACTCAGACCTCAGTTTGTGAAATAAAACATTAACAACTACCAGGTAGTCCACAATTCTTAAAAATCTTTTCAGCTATAATCATTAATAAGTAGCACTTCAGGACTAAATATGGGATTAATTTTATTTATAGCATATGCATTATAGTATATTAAAATACTGTAATTTCTATATTATTTTAGCTTGTTTGGCAAAATATAGTTACCTATAAAGCCAATAGCTACTCAGAGGTGAAATTTGTGGTGCATTCTTTCAAAACTGTTACAGACTTAGAGAGTTCAATAAAAATATCCCATTAAAATAAAGCATAGCCAAAGGCTGTGTTTTCCTGGCAGACAATAAAATACTCAAAAGCACGCACAGACTGGTCATATGACAGCATGTGCTTTGTTAGTTATATTGTTAAACCTGTCTTTTCTTTTTCTCCCACAGCCACTGGTTTAGCCCTGGGGCTAGGAAGGAACATAGCCAGGTAAGAACTGCTTTGATCAAGAACAGTTTACTTGAAATGTATAAAGGAATTTAACTACCTCTCCTCCAGAGATAGTGGGCTAATATTTTAAGAAATTATAAACAAAACAGGTATGATTTAATATTTTCTTGTAAGGAAATTGTTGTAAGCCCCTTCTTGTAAGAGCCTGGAGAAGCGAAGGCTCCAAGGAGACCTTATAAGAAACCTTCCAGTACCTGAAGGGGCTACAGGAAGGCTGGAGAGGGACTTTTGACAAGGGCAGGTAGTGACAGAACAACGGGAAATGGCTTTAAGCTGGAAGAGGGTAGGTTTAGATTAGATATTAGGAAGAAATTCTTCACTGTGAGGGTGGTGAGACAGTGGAACAGGTTGCCCAAGGAAGTTGTGGATGCCCCCTCCCTGGAATTGTTCAAAGCCAGGTTGGACGAGGCTTTGAGCAACCTGATCTAGTGGAAGGTGTCCCTGCTGATGGCAGAGGGGTTGGAACTAGATGATCTTTAAAGTCCTTTCCAAGCCATGACATTCTACGATTCTGTGATAGTTTCACATGGCTCGCAGCCAACACAGCCGTTCACCCACTTACCCTCCACCCCTAGAGGATAGGGGAGAGGATTGGGGGGCAAGGGTAAGCAGGCTTGTAGGATGAGATAAGCACAGTTTAATAGTAGAAATAAAAGAAAACTTAAAATAATACTAATATTAAAATAGTAGTGATAATGCTAACAGTAAGAAAATATGCAAATGAATGATACACAGTACAATTGCTCACCACTCACCAACTAAGCCCGGCCCGTTCCCAGATAACGATCCCAGAGGAGCAACAATGCTGAACTGAAACTGCAATCCCAGAAGAGTGAGAGCCTGAGCAAAAGCCAGAGAGAGACAAAAGAGGAACAGCCCCTCACTACTATACTGGACATGATATGATATGGAATATCCCATTGGCATATCCAAATGCCAATTTAGCTTATTAATTTAAATATTTCTCGCCCCCTTAGATCTTGTTCTTGTAGACTAACAAAACACCAAGTCCCTCACTTCCAGCGACAAAAATGCAAACACTGGTATGTTGTCAGTGTCTCTCTCATAACAAGTCCCAGGCTGAAAAGCAAAACACAGCACTATTCTAACTACTGAAAAAGAAACACAGTTCTGTTTCAGATAAAAACGAGGACAGATTCTAAGAAACATATTAGCAGCAATGCATTTCAAAAAATCGCTTAATTAAAAATCATTAATTAGTCATTTAATTTCAGTAAAGTATCTTTGAGTTTTAACAGATTAAATGAAAAGTCTGATTTTTTAAATGATTTTTTTAAATTTTACTACCTCCAAATGTTGCATTTTTCAAAATGCTGGAAAGCAAAACGTTTGACTCACAAAGTCAAGAAATACAGAACAGTGACAAGACCAAGCAAACTTGTAAAGGAAAATCTTCAATTTTTCTGCATTTCATTGATTAAAATAACTACAGCAGTAAAAAAGGAACTGTTAAATCTCCATCGTGGTGCAGATATTGTTGAAAGTATCTCATCAGTTTGTCTGTGGAGCCCCTACAATATAGTGCCTAGGAGGTCCAAACCTAGGAATATTGTTGAGGGAATGTGAAGACATGTTTAATATTTTGTTAGCAACATGGCACTTACTTCTTTAGCTTGTCTTCAATCATGGAGGAATGTCTTTCTTTATGAATGGTAGTAACGTCTAAACAGCGCATATTGTCCAAGAACTATAAAATGTAAAAATAATTCTGGTTCCATTACATAAATGTATAGTTAATTTCAACTATTCAGTTAAAGTAGCTGTATGTATCATCAGTGCATTGAAATTTAAGACTAAAGTTCCATAGTACATTTTTTTAAACTAGTAAAAATCGATATGACACAGATTATTAGATCTGTGCCAGTTCACTGGTACATTTACAAATTTAAATAGATTTGAAACTTCAAAAGGCAATAATATCTATAGAATCTTTGGAGGCTTCATTTTAGGATGATCCATCATGAACACTTGTAGCTTTTAAGTCAGTTTAAATCAGTGTATGCTCTTTCCTGTTCTCTCTCCCATCTTTTGAAATCCAGAGCAAGCTGAATCTCTCAAAGTTATATTACTTGCCCAAAATGGCCAGAGTGGATAAAACATTAAGTACAGTTTTAGCTGTAAATTGTGAACTTCTTACATGTTACAGTAAGCTGACTTGACACTTAACACCTAAATAGATGGCTATATGATTCACATTTAACTCCTATTATTTTGAAACACATTTCCTAGTAGAAGAAAAATATAAAAAGAGCATTTTAAATATGAGCATGCTTTGTCTTAATGAGTCATAATAAAAAGTTCTCTTGCGCTAATCTTTATTCTCTGCCTGAAATTTTGATACTGTAATAATCAAGTTTGCTAGGTTGGAATGAGTTTGACTGATTATTACTTTAAATTGGATTCTTTAATATATTGATTGTCTTGCATAACAGAGTAGTTAACTGAAGATGTACTGTTTATTTCCTTAAAAGATTCTAACCTTAAAACAGTATGGAAATTTCCATGCTGAGAAATACATTGACCTACATCATATATACTGGTAATATCCATTCAGCATAGAGTGTGAGAAACAACTGCTTAGCTGGTATATAATGACAATTTAATCCCTTTTTCTCAGGTAATAGTAGATTTTAATTAATTTTAAATTTTATGTGTATATTTTGTATTCATAAACACATATTTCTGTGTTTTCAGAGATTATCTGAAGTTCACTGTATTTGTAACTTACAGGTTACTAATGAATTGTGAAGTAAAGCTAATATCAAATACTGCAGGTGCTGCTGGCACATAATGGGTTATTTTTTTAAGACAAGTAAAAGAAATGAGAATGATGGTGCAATGTAATTATGACAATTTTAACGGTCTATAAAATTCTCACTGAACTTGTGAAGATCCATAGTGTATAACTATTGGTTGCATGGGTTTACTACTTTCTCTTTTAATTAATTTCTGGAGTAAGTAATTAACTAGCCAAATTTTAAGTCTGGCAGGTGATCTGTATTTGTACTTGTTGTAACTACAATTTACTTATTAGCTGGAGAATATTGATTACAGTAAGACTGTTCCTCCTTAGCTTGATCAAGAAATAGATACATATTTTATGAATATCATGCTGGTAATAATTGTGGCTACATTTAAATATGAATTGTAAGTGCTCTGATTCATTGATGTTAAGAAAAGGAAAAAAAATATTTTGCAAAGATATACCAGAATAAGGTACCTTACCTTTATGTATCCTTCAGATTGCCTTTTAAAACCAAACTGCACTATTTTACTGCATCTGAGAACTAGATAATTAAAATGTTGAGGAGCATTCCTTATACAAGAAGCAAACTATAGAAAGTTGGGGAAAAATTAATCAAGTGTCATTTTATGGATGGGTGTCATTCTTTGGAATACGTGCTCATTTACAACATTAAGGTGTGGCTGGACAAGTTACAACATTTGTCATTTCCTAATTTGCAGTGGACTTTTAAATGTGATTGCTTTGACTATTAGAACCATTTACATGTAGTCTATTTCTAAACAGTCTTCCATTCTACATTTTCTTCAATGTACGATTAGTTTCAGTAAATATTTGCATTTTTTATACTGTTTAGTTTTAATTTCTTTCATATTACTTTTTCACAGTCATTTTCTACCGTTTGTGCCACTTTACTCATCCTGACAGGTATCATAATGCTGGAAATAAACTTCTGAGTATTGGAGATACTCTGAGTGAAAAGTCTTCCTTTATTTGTCTAAAAATAAATAGAGTAAATGGGAGCTTGTTCCAGAAGCTGAGTCACCATTTCAATTAAATGACTCCTTCATTATTTCTGCTTCCCCACTGTTCCACTGTTATGGGAAGCCTTAATACAGTGTTTTTGTTGATTCTACAACTTCCAAATTACAAAAACTCCTGGGGCTTAGAAGAGTTTATAACTGTTTCATAACTGCTTAGATACAAGTGCCAACCTGAATAGGTTGAGTTGCTTTTTTTTTAAATTTAAGTGTTCTACAACACTTTGTTATACAATTTTGAAAATTTAATTTGAAATTGTGAAAATTGTAAAGTTTTGCAGATAAGTTAATTGGGAAATGATTAATTGCATGGCTTTCTAATATGCTTTTGAGAATGCTTTAATTTTTACATTTTCAATTATTTAGGAATTTTTTATTAATGACTATGTCTTGAACTATTGGCTATTATTGTAAAATTATATTAGATGTCCATATCTTTCAGAGTTTTGGGTGAAAACTGTTTCTTGAGTCGTTGAAAGATGAGTCAAGACAGGAAGGAATAGCACTATCAGGGTAACATTTCTAAAAAGCAAATAAAGGCATTGCTTGTGAGACTGTTCTGAACACTTGTTTTTGGTTTTTTTAATAGCTTCAGCTCTTGCGAGACAACCGATCAGAGAGAGGACATAAGAAGAGCAGCTCTGTAAAAACAGCTAGCCGGTAAGTAAATGCTGCAGCTGTCATTAATAGTTTATGAATTTGTTGGTTTCTTAACTCTCAAATGTTTATGTAAGAAATTACTCCATTCTTTTGGGGTATTTTCAGTGGTCTTCTGGGTTTTTTTGTGATTTACTTCCAAAAATTTATTTTATATGGCTTAATCTTTGCCTAATATGGATATTGAACTGTATTGGTTACTATTTCCAGCTACACTTACTAAACTTAATCTCTTTAGTAAATATCAGAATTAAATAGATGCCAGAGTAAGGTTTGTGCTTCTGGCATGTAAGTGCTGAAAATGTATAAAATTACCACTATGCATACATGCTTTTGAAATTGAGAAGATAACTCAAATACTGTAACAATTAAATTGTTCTGATATCATATTTTGATAATAAAAATTTCATTGTGAAGACTTATTAAAAACAAATCTAGTTTTATCCTCCAGCTTCTTTCTCACTCCCCCAAAAGACAAAAAAAAATCAACACTGAACTGAAGGGCACTGGTCTAGGAGGCTGTTCCTAAAGGGTTTTTTATGTACATGTTACCTGCTGAATCTATTCTGACAAATAATTATTTTAATTCTAGATTTTTTTAGAGAAGCTGCAGAAATGTTTCCCTTGCTATGCACAACACCTTCAACAATTTTTATGTTGTTCTGTAAAGATGACAATGTGGTATCAAACTACTTTTTCCAATGTTATAGTAGATTTATATCATCGTGCAGTACTATGGTTTTGAGTAGAACAGTTGTCTTTTAGGCATTTGTATTTAGTGTGTATGTGGTCATCCTGAAATAAGTTTTTAGTATTGTTAAATACTTGCCTTGCTGAATACCTGGAAAGGGAGACCAATACTTCTTTCAAAAATATGCATATTAAATATTAAGCTATTTCATTGTACACTAAGTTCTGGTTATACTCTCTAAAACACTGACTATGGATGTGTTGGTCATTCATCTTCAGCAGCTGTGGTTATCTTTGTCTATTAAACCTTTTATATTAGCCCAAAGAACAACTGAAAACTTCTGCATACGTTTTCTGTCAAGCACACTTCTTAAATCATATTTTTGCTCAGAATTTTAGAATGAGCCCACTTTAGATGTGAATTTTCACCATAAATGCACTCTTACTATCAGGCTGCTAACATGAAACTTAAGAGTATAAAGTGGATATAAAGTAAGCGGTAAGAAACAGATTATATTTAAAGTCATGTTAGGATCTTTTTTTATGCTGTAGCAATGTAAAATGGTGTCTGAGGATTTCAGAATCATAGCTTACATGTTTGTTATTCTGACCAGTGAAGCTCTTGTGAGGTGATTGCTACCTACACAAGCAGTTAGAATATTTTTAAAATGGCATTAAATAGCTGAAGTGATCTTCAGCCTCTCTTCATGTCCAATCAACAGTACGTTAGTAGACTGTTATCTCAATAAGCGTCTGGCAGGGTTGTGTAGAAGCAATAGGTGGCAAATCCAAGACTGAAGACTGGCATTTTCTGTAAAATATCTGTAATATTAAAGGAAGACTTACATAAACCATTATTATTACATACATAAAGCCACAGTATATTATCATACTGTAACAGCAAGATCACTTGCTAACGTCTCCTGGTACCATTATCTCTGTTTTGAAAGGATTTTTCCTCCGGATAGTGAGGTTATTTCAAAGTAGTTATTTGGGCTTTTTCAGAAAAACCACTGTTTTCTTTGCCTACCACAGAAACTTTACTGTTAGTTCTTTAAAGTGGCTTGAAGATAAATACTCAAACTTCTATGGAAATGATATTTTTAACAGGCCACCTGCTGTCTTAGAACATCAAGTCATATGCGTCTTATTTACAAGACATCTATGGAACAAATTTTAACATCCTTGCTACAGTTCAGCTGCTGAAAATAAGAATTTAATTTGCACAGTGTGCAAACATTTTTTTTTCTTGGACCGTTAGCATGTCTGGTGACTGCTTTCTTCCTATAGTTTGTGTTGTATAACCTAATTTTGCTTTTTGTCACAAGCTGTTACAACCAAAATAGAGATTGAATTTCAGATATATAGGAACAACACAAGACAAATACATAGTTCATCTCCTCATCTGTTCATAGTACCTATCCTCATTCAGTTCAAGACAAATCCTGTGGTATTCTGCTCTCTACAAATGAAGTTCATGATGTTCAGTGACGTATGTCAGACTTATCTGTGGTTAATATTGAAGGCTGATTTTGTTATGACTTAATTTTAAATTATCATTTCTACTGAAAGGGTTAATCTTAGTTTCACCAGACAATACAGAGAAGGAAAATGTTTCTGCTTAACAAGATGCCTATGGAAATTACTGGTTTAGTAGCAAATATTGTTCATAAAGTTAATTAAATGGTGAAGATCACCTTAGTTGCAAATGTGCATCTTTGTAACTGTGTACGAAATCTTAAAATGTAACTCTGTCATTTAGATTTTTTTTGTGTGCCCAAATATTTTAAAAACCACTAAACTACAATGATACCAATCAAATGTCACAAGATTAAGTTACAGAATTAATTAACATTGTAGTAAATCTTTAATTATTTCAGTGTACTACATGCATATGCAGTTAAATCTTCTGTTGAATGCAAGTATTTACTCACACCTGAAAGTCTAAACCTTTCTAAAATCAACTCTTAATTAGTTCTTGCTTGTGTTAAACCATTACAGTTGACATATCAAGGTAATTCAGATGAGTAACCCCCTTAAAGAGAGACATACACAAATAATAGCTGTGACCTTATGCTGTCATACTGTTTGTTGCTAAATACGGTGATAGAATGGCAGCAGTGGGTAAGTGTTGGACATTCTATAAAATTATTGTACTTATCCAGAATACAGTTTAACCTGCTTTTATTGCAAGACTGAATTTCTGTGGATCTTCCTTTGTATAGTTTTCACGCAACTGCATTTCTTGTTGTCAGACTATCTTTTGTTTGCTGTTCTGGAAGTCTTTTTTCCTGTTTTTTGTATGAATATGAGATATATATGTACACACACATTTTTCTGTGCTTGCCTTGACTTTTCTTACCCCTTTTGGATGACTGAACGCAGTTCTTGTCTCAGCATGTAGACAATATGTAAATACCCATACTACATTAGATCAGTGACTTGTGGAATAATTTACTGTGTAAATATATCAGAAAGGTGTGGAGCTCTAAGCACAGCAGTGGCCTACAGCTGTCTCTTCATGGTGGAATAATACTGATACTTTCTCAGTGAACTTTACTATACTGGATTATTTGTAGTAGGTTTATTCGGTCAGAATTAATAATAATAAGCCAATCCTATATAAACTAACATTAACTTTTACTAGTGTCAAGATAATTAGATTGTTGAGATCTGTTGATACGGCTACTGATGAACCAAACATTAAGGAGAGGGGTAATCCGTATCACAAAACTTAGAACCTGGGTAGATTGTATTATGCTGATACAGTTCAACATATGTGATCTTCTGTATTTGACACATTCAGATATATATCTATTTATGCTACCTTTACAGATAAGATTTAATTTACAAATATGTAGTTTTGCCCTTAATTATTTAAATTATATAAACAGTACTAAATAATACTGGTTTAGAAACTGCATTTATTTCTCCTGTATGGCCTTGAAAAAGTTCTCTGTTTACATTTTCTCTCTGCATTAGGACAGGAACAGTTTTTTTATCTACATTTCTTAATATGCTTCAGGCAAAACCAGCCTGGTTAGTTTAACTCACCTATTTAAATTAAATTGGCTGGTTTTGTACAAACCATATTAGGGAGTGCTCACATGATTTCTTCCTCCGGCAGAGCTGTGGAGATGATAATCTCCAGCAGATGTGTGATAACAAATAGCTTGGGATAGTAATGTCTTCATCTGGCGCAGTTGTTAGCAGACCAAATGTCTGTCTGTAGCCCGAGGCGGTGGGCAAACAATTGAACATGATTGAGTTATGGCGAGTTAACAAGTTGCTGCTTGGCAGCTGAAATGCCATAGCTGATCAGGCACTCATTGTTTGCCTGCTCCCCTCATGAGGTAAAACACATTCTCTTAAGTCACCTTTGTAAACTTTTATAAAAAAAGAGTTCTACATAAAGATTTCCCAGGATTGAGAGATTCATTTGGTCAGCAATGGAGACAGCATTGAATGGTATTTTGCTGAGCTGCTATAACATGATTTTGAACATTTGATGATATCATTAAATATATGGGGGATCTCCATCACATGACTGTCTGCCTGTCTCTTAATATTTAATGTATTTCTCCTCACAATACCCTTATGAATTTAGGAAGTACTTTTATGGTCATTTGATGGAATAACCAGAATACTTAAGCAACTTGATGTTTTGCCTTTGGTCATACAGTCAGTGCTGTAACTAGTTGATTTATGTTGTACTGTAGGTCTAAACAACAGAATTGCAGATTGGGAAAACAGCGGACTACTGGATAAGTTAAACTTGTGTAATTAGTTCCTTTACTATATGTAATGGTCTTGTGTCATATTTCTTTTACAGTGTGTTCCTGTTAAATATCATTAATTATTTTATCTACATATTTATTTTTTCCTACTGTACTGCAATTAGAATTTGACACATGCATGAACTGAGAAACTGAAAAGAAAATAATACCCAAATTTTCATTGCTTACCATTTTTTTTTGTTGTGTCTTGATAATTCTTTGTTGGCTTTCCACACTCAAATGCTCCCCAAGATCTTTAAAAGAAAGAAAAAAAGCTATTTGTAATTCTATTGCAGTTTAGTCCTAGCTTGAAAGAAAGCTGTCATACTCATAAAAGTGATTTCATGATGAAGTAGAATTATGCAAGTTAGGTGGTAAGCGTCAATAACCATTTTTTTTTGTTGTGTCTTGATAATTCTTTGTTGGCTTTCCACACTCAAATGCTCCCCAAGATCTTTAAAAGAAAGAAAAAAAGCTATTTGTAATTCTATTGCAGTTTAGTCCTAGCTTGAAAGAAAGCTGTCATACTCATAAAAGTGAT